CATCTATGAAAAACCACAGCTAACACAATAATGGTAAAAGACTGAAAATTTTCCCCCTAAGATTAGGAAAAGGCAAAAATAATGTGCTCTCACCATTTCTATTTAATAGTGAACTAGAGATTCTAGCCAGGGAAATTAATCAAGAGAAGGGAAAGGCATATCAGAAAGGAAAAAGTAAAACGATCTCTGCAGACAAAATGACCTTAATGGGAATCCTAAAGAATCCAGAAACCACATCTATTAAAACTAAAAAGTGAGCTGCAAAGCAGCAGCTTTGCAAGATATAAAATCAATATACAAAAACTAGTTCTATTTCTATAATCATATAATTTAAAAAACACAGAGAAATACAAAAACCACATCTTTTAAAGGACATTTAAGTAAATGGAAACATTCCATTTTCATGGATCAGAAGATTTCATATTGTTTAGATGGCAATACTCCGCCTTACTGGAGAGGGGCTTGACACAACCCCTATCTAAACCCCAGCTATTTTTGCAGCAGTTGATCAGCTTATCATATGGAAATACAAAGGTACCCAGAATAGCCAAAATAATGCTTGAAAATGAAAACAGGATTCATGCTATATTGGGCTTCCAAACACTATAAAGCTTAACTAATCGAGAGAGAGTGGTATATTAAGGATTGTGCCACGGTGTAGCATAGGAATTGACACCGATTAATGAAACAATTTAGAGCGCAAAAATAAGACCTTATATTTAGGATCAACTGATCTTCAACAAGCGTGCCAAGACCATTCAGTGGGGAAGGAACAAATCTTTAACAAATGGCGCTGAGACAACTAGACAGCCACAAGCAAAAGAAAAGATACAGCTGAACTCCCTACCATTCACACCATACACCAAAAGTTAGCCCAGGATGGATCACAGACTTAAGAGCAAAGAGTTAAAAATCTCAGAAGAAAACATAGGAGCAAATCTTTGTGACCTGGAGTTTGGACAATCATTTCTTAGATAAGACACCAAAGAATAGGCAACAAAGTAAAAAAGACAAAACTAATAACATGTAATGCAAACAGTACCATCAAGAAAGTGAGGACCTCCCTGGTGGCACAAGGGGTTAAGATGCAACCTATGAAGCTATCCGCAGCCTCTGCAGCACGAGTTCGATCCCCGGCCAGGGAGCTACCCACACTGCATAGCACACCTCCCCCTCTGCTCCTCTCAGCGGTATATTTCAGTCAGTCTGCCTGTTCTGTTCCCCACTCTGTCCCTGGTGAATCCTCTCACCCCCCGCCCCACACCTCTGGCCTATACCCCAGTTCTTGTACGCATATTTTTTTTTAAAGTGAAAAGTCAACCCAAAGGGGAGAGAAATATCTGCAAATCATTTGTCTGATAAAGGGCTTGTATCCAGAATATACCAAGAACCCTTATAATTCAATAAAAAAGCAACCCAGTTTAAAAATGGACGAAGGATTTGAATAGATGTTTCTTCAAAGAGACATAAATGGCCAGTGAATACCTAAAAAAGATGCTCAACATCATTAGTCATCAGAAAAAATGCAACTCAAGTCTATAAACACCACCTCACGCGGTGTGGGTCAGCTGAAACGTGAGGAACGGGAACCCACATGCACCGCTGCTGGGAAAGGGAAATGGTGCAGCCACTTTAGAAACAGAGACAAGCGGCTGAACAGCATGCTGTAACCCAGCCATTCCACTCCTGGGTATCTAACAGAGAAACAAAAACATTTCCACACAAATTCCCAATCATACATGAATGTTTCTAGCAGCATTATTTGTAATAGCCAAAGGCTGGAAACAAACCGCATGTCCAGCAGCTGACGCGCGGGTAAGCAAATGTCCACCCAGGCCACAGAAGGCTGCTCGGCAGTGAAGGGCAGAGGGGCGCAGACGCGCGCTACATGATGATGGCTTCAAAGGCCGGCTAAAGAGGAAGGCGGGCTTTTAAATGCCGCATGTTGTAGGGTTCCATTTTCAAATGAGGTATCATTGTTTACATCCTTAATTTGACAGCACAGGTTTTCTCCCTCGGGTGTGATCTCTGTGGTCAACTTTCAGGGGAATGACCTGTTTTGGTTTTCTTCCCTGGCAGTTATTAGAAGCACCTGTGGCAAGAGCCCAGTGAAGCCCGGCTTATTCCTCGGGGTGAGGCTTTAGGGTCCTCTGTTCGACAAGCAAAACCTGGCAGGCCGCAGACAGGGCTCAGGATGGACCAGAACAGCCCTATTTTTAAATGGCTCTATGTTATGTCCCTTTTTCACAGTGGTGCGTGTGGAACAAGATGTCTGAGAGTGGGGCCACAGCTCCTTCTGGGACGAGCTAGACGGGGTCTCTTCCTCCCAGAGAGGGCCGAGCCCTGGCCCAAGCTGTTCCTGAGGCCTGAGTGCTGCAGCACCCAGCCCAGAAGGGGCAGGCTGGGCCAGGCCCTGCCTCAGTAGCTCTGCTGGAGCGGGCGAGCCGGAGAACACTGCTGCCCTGCCTGAGGGCAAGATGCTGCTTTGTTGCAGCCGCCAAGCCAAGACTCAGGCAGAGGAGCCTTCCTGCACGGCGGCCGCACCCTGGATGCATCCTGGACAGTGTGGGGCCATCTGCTACACAGATCCTGGAGTGCAGGGCCCTAGGGACTCACTCCGGAATCCTGCCCGGGGTCTGCAGAAGGGCCACCCTGAGGACTGTGGTAGCTCGTTTACACAGGGCTTCTGGAGATCTGGAGGCTGAAATCTGAGATGAAGTCAGTGATAAAACAGCCCAGGTGAAAGGTGTTTCTGTTAGCGGGGCCTCGGGACAGGGAAAGATGCGCAGGGAGCAGAGGGGAATGAGAACACCCTTGTGGAAAAATGAGGGTGGGTGGGAAGAGCGGGAATGGGACAGAATTTACACAACCTTTTACACAAGAGTATCGCTGAGAATTCATTCCTGGCTTAAATCCAGCACATGCTGGCTGAGTCTGTCCTGCACCTGTGCTGTGGCAGGCCCTGGCAGCGCAGGAGTGAAGTAGTGGGAATGCAGCCACTGGGTTTGCCTGCGGGGGATGGCGTGGAGACACGGCCAGCTGGTCACTTTAATTGTGCCAGGGGTGAAAGTGCAATGGGGGGAGCGGATATAGCGGGGCTCAAGCTGTGCAAAGGACATTGGCCACTAGAGGACAGGTCACTGTGGCTTCGCACCCATAGGCACAATTGCAAGACTACTCAGGCTCAGGGAACAACAACAGGGTTTATTTAACAAACAGGCTATAAGAGCCTGGCATCTTACCCGAGTGTCCAGTGTCCAGGAGTCCCAAACGAAAGTCTGTTCATCCAAGAAGGCGCTGTCCCATCAACATGGGCCTGGAACTCGTTGCAACCGGCAAGCAGCAGGCCAGGGTCCAACTCACAGTCTGAAGGTCGGGATGGTTGGCACTGGATGCCGGACCAGACAGGACGCTGGACCAGACAGCAGCACCAGGAGGCAGTGCCAGACCTTTAGACACACCATGTTAACAACTTTCAAAAGTGACCTGGACCATCTACAGTGCAGGACAGCACTGGCCAGTAGTACTAGTCACTACTGTTCAGTAGGAGGTGGCAGTGTCACCCCAGTTACAGCTCTTTGAGTTGCTGTCCCACTCCAACAACAAACAGCTATTTGAGATACCAGGCCTGGGGCCTTTGGTGCTCCTTTCAAGAGCCGTCAGAGGCAGGCCGAAGGGCAGCGGTCCCCCATGTCTGCGAAGCCCTTTGGTTTCTCTGCAAAGCATTTCAGCTTCTCTTCTTCCTTTGGAGAAGCTGGATGCTGCTTCTTCGGAGGCCAGGAACAGACCACCCCACGCTGGCTCCTGACCTGCCTTATGTCCTCCTTCAGAGTCCCCCACCTACAAGTCTGACTGGGTCATTTTCAATCCTCGGGTTGATTGGACCATTTGGAATCTGGTCAGGTGCGAGCTATGAGCTCTGACCAGATTCCGCCATCCAGGCACCAAATCCACGGGCCTCTCTACTGGCTGCAGCTGCCGGGAGCCACAGTGCTGCAGTTGGTGGAGTGGGGCTCCACGTTCCTGCAGCCCAAGCCCACGTGGGCCTCAGGCGGTGGGTGGTAAAGTGCCCACCACCTGCTGCCACTTGCACTCCCCACAAGCTGTGCTCTAGGGCCCAGGGCTGGGGCCAGGGGGGTGTCTCAGGTTTCAGGGGAAGCACCTGTGAGCAGGTGATGCTGTTCTAGTCAGAGGCTTGAAGTTCTGTGGGTGTTGCTGGTTTTGTTCCCTGCTGGTACTGTGTGGTGTGGAATTGTCTTGTGGGAGCAGGAGAAATTAAAGTGCTTTTCTGGGGCCTCCCTGGTGGCACAAGGGGTTAAGTCGCAGCACTGTGAAGCTAACCGCAGCCACTGGAGCGTGAGTTCCATCCCTGGCCAGGGAGCTACCCATATGGCGCAGCAGACCTCTCCTGTCTCTCCTGCTGCTCCCCTCAGCAGTGTTTTTCAGTAGATCCATCTGTTCTGCTCCCCACTCTGTCTCTGGTGAATCCCCTCACTCCCCACACCTCTGGCCCATACCCTAGATCATGTATGCATAATAAATAAATCTTTAAAAAAAAAAAGAAAATTTTTCTTGGAAAAGTTAACTATTTTCAGAGACTTTTTGTTAGATTGAGTTCCCTAATGCTGTTAAAACAATGAAAATCATAAGCAATATTTATATAGGTATATTAAACAAAAATACCTTCACAATTCTTGAAACATCCGTCTGGATAGCTCAGCTAGGTGACCTCATATGCCCTTAACAGCTGTGCTCTCCTCTGAACACCAGCCAGAGACCTGGGCACTGTGGGCAAGCTTCAGGTGCACCCCCACCCCCCCGAGAATGGAAAAAGGCTGACGATCATACCAAGATCACACGCACATGTTGGAAAACACTTTAACAGGAGGTCCCCAGGTGCCACAGTCAGGACCAAGGGTTTCTAAATGGATGTATATGGCCCGCCCCCCAAGATGTATCTGTTTAATAAAGAGCAGCCACAATGTGAACGAGCAGTGGGCAAGAGCAAGGACACACGGTATTAACCTTCCAGAAAAACATTTATTTCAAATACGCAGGATGTTCAGGACAACAAACATGTTCTCAAGTCTTCTCCAGTTTTACTAACACACATGACTGGAGCACAGACTCGGGTAAAAAACACCTTTAATGTAAAACCATTTCCTGTACTTTCTAATCTGTACATTATCCTTTATATCTTCAATTAAATGGATAAAATTAACTTTGAGTTTACCTGACTAACACCTGAGTTAAAGATAACTTTAAAAACAGAAAAACAAGTCGCACTGACTGTCTCTCCAGGCGGCGCTGAGGGTGCTGGGGAAGGAGGGCCCCTCAGGACAGGCGACGGCACACTGTACAGGGAACATGACACGACGCTAGCGTGAGTCATCCGGGTGGTGTGCGAGGGGTGTGTGTGCGTGTGTGTGCGTGTACATGCAGATATACATGTAATGAAAAATACTGGAACTTTTCACAAATGTAAGACACCTGCTCTAAGACCCATGAGCACAAAATCCTGCCCGAGAATAACATCAGACCTGTCAGGAACCAAAGTCTGAAACTGGGCTCTCCGCGGGCGTGTCCCCGACGGCGTGTAACTCAGATGAATTACATCAAGCCAAGAGTGCGAATCAGCCAAGTCCCGCAGGTGTTACAGTTCAGGTCACTTCTAAATGCATATACCAACATTACCTTCCGCATGAAAACGTTAAAAACTAAAAGCTTAACATGGAAACAGAAGCCAATTCTAGCTGCTTACAGCCCTTCCGGACAAACCACACTCTCCACATGAAAACAAAAGGAAGCTGGCGAGGAGGAACATTCTCGTGTGCTTTTGCTTTAAAGAGCAGTTATGGACGTGAACCCCGGGAAGGGAGTGACCACTGCGCTGCGGGTGACTCATGAATGTGAGGGCACCCGGGGGCGCTCCCTGCTGTGCTGCACCAGGAGCTGGTGACCTGACAGAGAGACTGCCAGCATGGGGGTGCGGGGAGCGCGGCACAGCAGTGCCAGGTGGTGAGCGGGGCAGGAGGGCAGGAGGGAACACTCGCGGAGACTAAAGAAGGGCTCGTGGAGGCAGAGGATTGTCACATCAGGAAAGGGACTCAGACCTCCAACCCCGGAAGGGCACTGCGCCTCTTGTGCGCAGAGCAGGAGCAGAGCCTCCAGCGAGACGCCGGGCAAGGTGCCAGAAGTCACGCTGGGAAGAAGGTGAAGCTGACCTGACTTTTAGTGGAGGGAAAAACTGAAGACTCAACCCCAAACAACCAACTTGACGGGACAGGAACTCCCCTTTCCTCCTCAACCTCAACCATTCTTCACTTCACTTTTCAGTATTTTAATGAAGGAGAATTTAGTTTGTGACTTTCTTGCTCTGGGGTTCTCACTCACAGAACGCAGCCTGGCCCCAACACCCACGATGGGTCCAGACTGGGCTCGGGCCAGTCTGTCCTCTCTATAGTCTGGCCTGGTTTCAAGTGTGGGTACCAAAAGTCTTTCAGCGTTAGCCCCCATTCTCTCCTCCAGCTCTGCAGACAGAGACAACAGCACAGCTTCAGTGGCCTCTCTTCTTTTGTGGGAAAAAGGTATACTTCGTGGGGTTGAACTCTTCCCAAATATGCTCAAATTCTTCCAGAAAAAGCCTCACATACTCTTCATCCTCCATAATCAAAACATTTTCTCTATTGTTCTGAATGGCTTGCGTGGTCCAGTTGAGGGAGCCGGTGATCAGCACCTTCTTGTCCACTATGGCAAACTTGTGATGCATGTAGCCAAGGTCCTGGTCATGTCGAACCTGAATACCTGCAAAAAGGGCAAGTGATCCTTCACTATGGCCTCACGCGAGACTCTCATTCACACACGAGCTCCTCGTTGTGCGCCATTTTCTAGCAGCTACTAATTTTGCCATTTGTTTGCAATCTGGTGGGAAAGCAGAGCTTGTCATGCTTAACAAGGGGCAGGGGCTGAGTCGCACTCCAGCGTGAGAGCAGCACCCACAGTCCCAAGGGGAGGAGGGGCAGCAGAGACAACGGCAGACAGGCAGATATGCCCGATATCCTTGATAAGTAGAATGCGCCTGTGTGGTCTTGCATACAGTCTGATTTTGATAGTTGTCTGGGGGTCTGGAAATGCTATTGCCATTTGGACCTCCCCGGGGGCGCAGCAGTTGAGCGCCACCGGAGGAGGGTCCCGCATGGCACGCAGAACTCTCCTGCCTCCCGCTGCTCCCCTCAGCAGTGTACTTCATCCATCTGCCTGTTCTGCTCCCTGCTCTGGCTCTGGTGAATTCTCTCGCCCTCCCGCGCTTCTGACTGTACCCAGTGCTTGTGTAAATAAATAAATAAACAAATAAATAAATAAATCTTTAAAAAAAAAATGCTATTGCCATTAAATTCTGTGGAACAAAAAAATTTGTTGTTTCCAGTAAGGACACCTTACTACTACCATCTTTAACATGACTCAATTTCTTCTAGAAACAACCCTCACCAGGTCCTGTGATTTGGTTGAGGTTTACCCACCCATGCCTCTGGAATCGAAATCTACAGCATAACCCTGCAGAATTACTGATTCTGGAAGAGCCAAGCAGTACTCCCATCAGAGGTGAATGAGCACAAATCACTGGCTGGGGTTCCCCAGCCTTTAAACTCTCACTTCTGCCAGGAGCTGGTACGTCACCGTATGAACACCACCAGGCCAGGAGCTGCATCCCATTCTGTAAGAGGAAGGGGCGAGCCTGAGAGGGCAAAGAGAACCCAAGAAACCAGGCCCTGAGGGTGTCAGAGTGAGGGGTTCAGTGGCACTGGATCCCTAGTTTGGATGGACCTTGACCTTGACCACTGTTAGCAGTTACTCATACAAAAACTATTCTTCGCATGCCCTGCATCCTTCAGAGAGCCTGAGGTGGCTGCATTTTGTGTTGCTGCTGTCTCTCCTCTTCCCCACATTGTTTTCAAACTCTCTAGGGCAGGGCCTTGCTTCCTGTCCACCTCTGCATCAGCCCTGGAGTAACGCTGGCTTCCATAATTAGTCACTCAGTGAATGAGACCATTAGACGTGTGATTTAAGAGTTTAAAATAGCCTGCTTTGCAATAGGGTTGCCAGACTTAACAAATAAAAATGCAGGATGTCCAAATTAAATGGAATTTCAGACAAACAAGAAATGATTTTTGAAGGTATCTCCCATGCACTACTTCTGAAAAGACGCTACAAATTACTTGTAGCTTCTGTGAAATTCAAATTTACTAGGCATCTTGTATTTTTCCCAGCAACCTTGCCTGGAAAGCAGCGTCCTAATCCCAGGGAATCCTGACGACATGTCTCACACACTACAACCAACCTACCAGCAAGTTCCATCAGCTCAACCTTCAAAACAGAAGAGACCATTTCTGGCCACGCCAACACAATCACAAGGCTCTCCCCTCCACCTCCCGGCTCCCATTCTGACCCATACCACCCACTGCTACCCTGAAACCCATTCTTCTCAGAGCAGCCTGGACAACCCGTGTGGGGTCTTCTGTGCCTCTGCCAGGCTCACCATCCTCTAAGCACTTTCTGTCTCACACTCCAGGGTCCAGCCCACTGCCTCCACTCTGAATGAAACCCATATGCCCCGGTGCCCTGGTCTCTCGTCATTACTACTACCATCTTTGGCATAGGAGATTTCTTCCTATTCCTCAAACACACGGAGTTAGCATCTGTACTTGCTGTTCCTCAATCCAGAAGGCTCTCCCTCCAGATACCTCTCTCATAGCACTGTTATGCTTCAGTTTCTCTGCCCTTCACCCTGTTTTATTACATTTCCTGACCCTTATGACGATCCAACTTTAAGTGTCAGGCTTTAGTCCCTTCCCGCTGGGAAGACACAGTACCTATACTGTGTCTCTGGTCCAGGAAAACACTGGCACACAGGCACATTTGTTAAATGATGAAAATGGCTGAGGTGCCATCAGAGGAGATCAAGCCTTAGGTGGGAGCCTTATCTTGGTGACCTTTAAGATTCTTCCCAAATGTCAGAGTCTAAGATTTCCTGAAAAATACTAAAATCTTTTTTTTTAGATTTATTTATTTATTTATACATGCACTGGGTATGCAACAGGGTGGTCCCCAGGAAAGGGGGAGGTTCCCTGCCCCACCCAAGGGAGGGTGGAGCTGAGCAGCAAGAGAAGAAGCTGCAGGAAGAGACGGAGGAAGGAAGCAGGATGGAGCAAGGAGACCTGGAGGAGGCACATGGAGCCTAGAGACACGTGAAGAAACTGCGCTTGTCTTTTGGTCATGGACTAGGTGACACAGATGTGGGTGAGACCCGTGGGGAGGTGACAATGGCAGCTTTTATCTTGATGTTGATTTTGCTCTTTTCCTTCCGGGCTTGTCTGGTTATTTCTGACCCTTTGCTGTGGGTCCCCACTGGAAGATGCTTTAGACTTGTGGCAGGCTTTGGGGCCTTGTTCTGGGCCAATCCCATTTGGATGGACTTTTACCCACGAGGGGACGGGTAACTCTGGATGCTTCATTTAGAAACTAAACTCTTTGCCTTACCTGTATTGTTTCCTAGTTTTATTAAAGTTCCTTCCCATTAAAGTCTCCTATGTTTTGTGTTGATGCGGCGGATGGCAGAACCCATTTAGAATAGGCAGGTTTGCGGGGTTTGGGCTGCCCCTCTCCCTGTCCTATAACAGGTACAGTCAGAGGCGCCGGACAGTGAGAGAATTCACCAGAGCCAGAGCGGGGAGCAGAGCAGGCAGAAGGACCGAAGTACACTGAGGGGAGCAGCGGGCGGCAGGAGAGGTCTGCGCGCCATGCGGGACCCTCCTCCGGTGGCCGGGGATCGAACCGGCGCCTCAGAGGCCGCGGGCAGCCTCGCAACCCAGCGCTCAACCGCTGCACCACCGGGGAGGCCCAAAAATAATAAAATCTTAAAGATTTTCTAAAAGCTAAACGTATCCATGTTTTCCCCTCGAACCTGCCAGCAGATGCGGGACGGCTCGTGACCACCAGGAAGAGCGGTGGATATCCTCCACGTTTAGACTGCCTTTCCAGCCCTGCCACAGAGGCTGCGGGTCACTCCCAGCTAGAGAGCCCCAGGTGGAGTGGGGGAAGCTGAGCCTGGCCCAGAGAGGCAGCTCTGCCTCCCAGCCAGTGAAAGGCCAGGAGTGCTTGTGTGAAGAGGGGAGGGGCCAGGACAACACTCAAGGGCGCTTCAAGACTGGATCACCGTGGCCACAGAACTGGCAGGTCAAACAAATGCTTGTGCAGAATGACTTTCCTGGGTGACTGAGAGAAGCACGAAGTTCAGGCTCTGTGCAGCTAACATTCACAATACAGGGAACAGAGTTTGCAGTGCACATTAGCACATGTGCTGACAAACTGAGAGGTAGAAGAATCAATGCAGACCCCACACTTTCTATTTCCCAGTGAGTTGGGTAGGTAGGGCAGAGATGTCTCCCCCCAGCCTTCTGCAACTGGAGAAACAATTACATCAACTGCTCAACCACTAAACATTTAAGCCTCACTTCTCAGAACATTACTTTTGTTCATTTCAGAAGCCCCGGCCTGAAATTCACTAACAGTTAAGTGAAACGCCTTCTTCCTGCTTAACCCCTCAGTCCTGAAGTCCAGCCTTTACCATCTTTGGTGGCCTGCAAGCAGGCAGGCATGCAGATTTGTTAACCTTCACCTTAGATTTCCTGAGTGCTGCCAGGCCAAACCATCATCACTTCACACTGCAGTAGTGAAAATCTAAGGATATAGCTGCTGCCCCACCCCAGGCAGGGAATGAGGTATAGCAGAGTTAGGGCTGCTCCCCAGTGTCGCCTCACAGGGTGGCAGCGTTGGGAGCAGCACAGGATGAGGGACAGATCTGTCCACTCAAAGTCCATGTGAAGCAATGAGAAGCCTAGAGGGGCTACATGGGAAATAATGTGCAGCCTGGATCCAAAGGCAGTCTTGGATTTATTAGCATCAAGTACAAAGGTGAGCAAGTAAGTAGGGCGTGTACATGGGGTGGGGAGAGGGGCGGGAGGGATGGGAAGCAGTTTGGGGGATGTAAACTAGGGTGGAGTGACCAGGGGCTATTGCCTGGGGGGCTCCACTGTTCCAGCTGGTCAAAGCACATTATTTCTATTTTATTATCTGCCTGCTCTTTTCAGCAGATACCGATTTCCCAGAATGTTCCTCATGCCAGGACTTTTGTCCTTGGTGAGAGGCCCCCACAAGACCTACACCTAGCTGGCAAACAGGAACTCTGGGACAAGACAACATTCTGGAGAACAAGGGGGGCCTGGGGCTCTCACACCCCCGAATTCCTGGGGAGGGCCCCGCCTCAGGGAATTCCCAAACCTTCCTCCACTGGCTGGGAAGGCAGGTCCTTCTCATTCCTTGGGGCTCACACTCAGCAGCCTGAGACCCCTTAGCAGAGCAGCTCTGGAAGCTGCTGGCTCTGCTCACCAAGGCCTGTCCCCTCCACGCCCCCCCTTGACTTGGGGTTTCTCCCAGATAAAACTACCCTCACCCTACAAAACCACCATAGGAAATAAACGAGATCTCATCTGTCTTCAGGCCTCTGACCCAAGCATCGGCCTTTGACATTCAGCCCTCTGCCTCTGGTCCTGGGGCTCAGCTCATACCCCGCCCTGTCTGAGACTCATCCCCCAACGGGCTCGTGAGGCCCCAGGCCTGGGGTCCCCAACGCCTTGCCCCCGGCCTACCTGCCTTGCGGAGCAGCCCGATCTGCGAGCCGTTGAGGGCCATGTAGTCACAGTCGGTGATGACCCGGACGCGCACCCCGCGCTGATGCAGCAGCTGCACGGCGCGGCCCAGCTGCGGGCTGGAGAAGGCGAAGAGGCAGAGCTCGAGGCTGGTGCGGGCGGCCAGCAGGGCGCGCAGCAGGCGGCTCAGCGAGCTCTCGCCGTGCGGCAGGCTGCACCGGCAGTCCGTTGAGGGCTCCGCCGTCCCCACACCCGGGGCCTGCAGCAGGGCCTCGGTGCAGGTCACCTGCGACGGGAAGAAGAGCACCTCGCGCCGCGACCGCGACCGCCTCCCTGCCCGCAGCCAGCGCAGCACGGAGGGCAGCGCCTCCAGGGCCAGCGTGAGGCCTACTGCCATGGCGGCCGCCACCTGCCAGCGCAACGGCCCCATGCTGCCGGGAGGCCACTGTGCCCACTGCGCCTGCGCGCCCCTAGGCCACGGCGTCCAGGGGCCACCACGCCTGCGCACCGAAGGGCACGTGCGCCTGGTGTCCACTGCGCCTGCGTACTGGCTGGTCACGTGTCCACGCGCCTCTTCAGGGTATTTGGGCTTGGTGCCCACCAGAGGCAGGTGTCTGCGGCCCTACGGGCCCCCACCCCTGTGCACTTGCGCCCCTGCCAGCCAGGTACACTTGGCCACAGGCACCCTGCCCTGCTACAGTGCATGCCAGCGCCACACCCATCGAAGCCAGACTAAGCCCAGACCCTCCTCCAGCCATAGAGCAGCATAAGGACCTCCTCTCAGTTCACACCTCCTCTCTCCAGAGTGGGATCAGCTAGGCAAGGCTTGGAAGATCCAAGAAACGAACAGAATGTCAGATAAACCAAGGAGGTTTAGTAGGTGGCAGGATTTGACCCCAACATGCTGAAGACCACAGCGTGGTGGGGACAGCCCCAAGTCAGGGATTTAATCTTTTGTGTTTCTTCTGATCCTCCCTATATATTCCCTTATTTGAAGACATTCGTTCCACTTTAAGCATAAACTGAGTGGAAACTAAGTCAAAGGTGCTGTCTTAGCAAGCACCGGTTCCACCTATCCCTTGGGAGGGGCTGTTACTTCTCACAGGGAGGAAAAAGAGAAGAGAGTGGGAATTTCCTGTCTTCTTTCCTGAACCCTGGTCAGGAATTTGCATGATCTGTGGTCTTTAAATGAAAATGACAGTCCTCTACAGTTTCCTTTCTGTAACAAGGGGACGGTCTCCTTGACTGCCATCAGTTGAAACATCAACCCCTGGGTGGGAAAAAGCAGTTTTGGAAGTAACTTTGGAAGACCATCTTTTTACTACAATCTATAAGACTGAACATAAAAGGACTGCATACAAATATTATACTTGGTGAATTTTTTTCCTCCTGAAGGGGAACTCGTTAACAATTATGAAATTGGGCTTCCCTGGTGGCGCAGGGGTTAAAGACAGAGCTATTTCAAGCTATTACCAGCCACTGCAGTGCAAGTTCTAGTTCGATCCCCAGCCCTCCAGGGAGCAGCCTATATGGCGCAGGAGACCTCTCCTGTCTCTCCTGCTGCTCCCCTCAGCAGTGTATGTCAGTCAATCTGCCTGTTCTGCTCCCCACTCTGTCTCTGGTGAATCCTCTCACCCCCCGCACCTCTGGTTTACAGCCCAGTTCTTTCAGGCAGAAAGACTGACATACACTGCTGAGGGGAGCAGCAGTCAAGATAGGAGAGGTCTGCTGCGCCATGTGGCTTGCTCCCTGGGCTGAGGATCGAACTCATGCTGTAGTGGCTGCAGATAGCTTCATAGTCCTGCAGCTTAACCCCTTGTGCCACTAGGGAGGCCCACATTAGTTTCTCAAATCATGTATAAAACAAAAAGTAGTTACAAACTAGTTACAATAACAATAGTTTTTATAATTGTCTATGTTTGGTTTTCACTTGAGACCTTTATTTCTGTGTATGGCTTTGAGGTATTGCCTGGTCTCTTTCCATTTCACCTTGGTGGTTTCTCCCTAGAGCATTTCATGATCAGGCCTAGTGGTCACAAACTTCTTCAGCTTTTGCTTATTGGAAATTCTTGCTCACATCTTCCTTCCTTTTGGGAGACAAAATATCAGATACAGGATTCTTGGTTGACATTTTTTTTCTTTGAGCATTTTTCTTCAGTATATAGGCACCGTTTTCTGGCCTCCTAAGTCTCTGATTAGAAATCTGAGGATAACTGTTCTCTGCCCCTTTCTCTCTTCATCTGGGACTCCATGATCTAAATGTTGGTCCTCTAGGTGGTGTTGTATCCCATGGGTCCCTTTGGCTCTATTTGCTTTCAACCTTTTTCATCTGTTCCTTAGTCTCAGTAATAGTCCATTGTCCTATCTTCAAGTTCATCGATTTTTCTGTCTGCTCAAACTTTCATTTGAATCCTTCTAATGAACTTTACATTTCAGTTAGTTTTCATTCCACACTTGTTTTTTTCATTTTCTTTGTTGCTATTCCCATTTTGTTCACACACTGTTCTCTTGACTTTTTCCACATCTTCCTTTAGTTCTGTGAGCATTTTTAAGATAGTTCTATCTGCCATGAAGTCTTTTTCAATGACTCTGGAATCTTTTGAGTAGAACATACTTCCCTGTCTCTTTACAGGGCTTGTGACTTTTAGACACTGGAAACTTGGGCCTAATGATGAGAGAACTATAAATCAATCCCCCCTTCCACCGTTTGCTATTTATTTATTTATACAAGCACTGGGCAGAGTCAGAAGCGCGGGAGGGTGAGAGAATTCACCAGAGCCAGAGGGGAGAGCAGAGCAGGCAGATTGACAAAGTACGCTGCTGAGGGGAGCAGCGGGTGGCAGGAGAGGTCTACGTGCCAAGTGGGACCCTCGCCTGGCGGCCAGGGATCAAACCGGCGCTGCAGAGGCTGTGGCAGTTTCGCAGCCCAGAGCTCAACTGCTGCGCCACCGATGAGGCCCTGCTATTTATTTTTTAATTGTTGAAAACTGTCTCTGTGCTGAGCATCAACACAGTCATGCTCACCTCTTAGCACCTTGGCCGTCAGGAATGATCAGTGATCCTAGCACAGCTCCGCAGTAGTTGAAGGAGAGTCCTCTTTGCCCGCCTTGGCTCTCACAGGACGTGGCAAGCTGCCCCAGGAACGTGAGCACAGCTGCCTGCCAAATGGCTGAGGGGCTGGGGTGGGTAACCGCCACTGTGCTGAGTTGAAACTGCCTGAAATTAACAATTTAGCACCCAGGCCTTCCTCTGGAAGCTGCCAATCTTTAACAGACTCCAGAGATGCAAAAAAGTTCTGTCATCACTGGTATTATTTTTAACCACAGTATTTTCTGAAACTGATCTCTTATAAATTTTAGTATCAAACCAATAAAATCCCCTAGTCAACAGTATACAAAAATACATCTTTATTGTGTTTCAGTGTTCTTACAAGATACAGATACCTAGTCATATAAACTTGGTCTTCATGTTAAATATAAATTAAACAAACAAAATATAAACAAATCAGCAAAACTGCTGGAAAATTCCTCCAAATCATGAGTCCTTATGAAAAATGTACACTGGGATGATGAAGCTGTCATAGCAGCATACTCCCTTTGAAAAACTGTTACTGCAGCCAAATGGAAATGTTTCAAGAAGCAATAGAGGACAAAGTGCTATAAAATAAAACTATGGTAGTTTTTTTCACCTCCATATACTGAGTCAGGCAAGTCAAATGTCTGGATTTGACGCACTGGCACAGCATTATCGTCCTATGAAAAAGAGCAGGGACTTGTCCTCTACAGGGCAGTTTCACTGCCAAGCAGGGGCACATTAAGCCTTAGTAGTAATATGATTTCAGAACATGAATTCCAGAGGATCCAGAAATGAGGAATAAATCCATTCCACCCCAAAAGCCTTTCCCAGAGCCCTACACAGATTACAAAAAGTGACTAAGGATTGGTACAGGTACTGAAAATTCAAAACTGCAGCAAAACTCTACAAACATATACATATATCCTAGAATCTTGCTGAATTTCAAAACACAAAGTTTCAAACTTTAACCTCAAAAGAGGATATGGTATTGTAGCTGGGGCTGGCCTGTTATTCCGAAAAATGTTGAATTCTCCATCCTTGGGAGGCATCTGATGCATGTTTTCCTGTCAGCCTCTCCACAGGTGTGCAAATGCAGGGGACCTGCTAGCACGAGGCCTATTGCTTTCTGCAGAGATGGAGCAATTCAAACAGCCAGATGGGCAATGCTAAGAACGACAAAGGGCCCAATCCCACAAGAAGGCAAAGTTCAACCCGAAGTTTGTGTTACTTGCTGGGAAACAGCTCCGTGCCAGCAGTTCAGAAATGGGAGGATCGTCTGTGACTGCCTAGAAGACTTGCCTCTGAGCTCGATGGCAAGGATGGCCATCAACACGTCCCAGGAGGTGTACATGGGACACACTCCCAAGGTGGGGTCAATTACGAGGCTCTGAGGCCGTGGGGCTGCGGACAGTAGACATGAGGTGTGACTTGTAGGTTTTGCTCAGGCCCGTCATCCAGAACTTGAGCAGCTTGACATTGTCCTCTTCGGAGGCACCAAGGATACTCAGAAGCTTCTGTGTGTCTTCTTTGGGTCGACTGTCCACCTTGGTGAATTTAAAAAGGACCTTCACTTTGCTGTAGAAAAACAAAACAAAACACTCAGATACCGTGGCACCCTCACCAGAGTTCTGGTCCTGGGGCTTAAGTGGCTCCAGAGCTGGATTCAAACACCTACAAGACACAGCAGAGTGCAGCTCACACCTGCGTGTGTCAGGCTGCTCAGTGCCCGTCAATTCTAACCCTATAGCAGAGCAGGCGCACAAGATGGGAAAAGAAAAATTTTTTCCTTAAATGCATAAAAGGACTGGGTTGTTCTTTAGGTCACCATATTATTTTAGATCAGGACAATTAAGTTTGACAAAAAATTACTAAGAAGGCAGGAAGAAATAATTCTGCTTAATAAAAAGGGAACATCTGTTATCTGATTTTCAGATTTTTAGTTAATTAAGTGGCAAAAATAACAGCTTCCCTGGAGGTCGAGGTGGTCACCCCCTCTCACAGGAGCGGCCTGAGGGTAGGAAATACTGCATCACTGCTCAAAGTCATCCATAAGGTAAGTGGCAGAGCTGGTACTAAACCCTTCTCCAAACTCTCTCTCCGAGTGGCCACGGTCTTGCCTCTTTTTCTGGCAACAGCTTCAGATTTTCCTCAGCAGGATGCAGCGAGCCATCCTGTCAGGAAGCAGATTCCAGGAGCCAAGCAGCAGCACTTACTTCATCCACTCCTCCTTCAGGCAGACAAGGCACTGGTCCACCACATCCACAGACAGATTCTGGTTAGTCAAAGCAGCTTCCATTTTATTCAGGATGGTGGGTCCAACTGGGGATGGGGAGGGGGAAGAAGGTCAGCACAGGG